GTATAGTAAGGCATGAAAAGTCATAGTATAGTAAGGCATGAAAAGTCATAGTATAGTAAGGCATGAAAAGTCATAGTATAGTAAGGCATGAAAAGTCATAGTATAGTAAGGCATGAAAAGTCATAGTATAGTAAGGCATGAAAAGTCATAGTATAGTAAGGCATGAAAAGTCATAGTATAGTAAGGCATGAAAAGTCATAGTATAGTAAGGCATGAAAAGTCATAGTATAGTAAGGCATGAAAAGTCATAGTATAGTAAGGCATGAAAAGTCATAGTATAGTAAGGCATGAAAAGTCATAGTATAGTAAGGCATGAAAAGTCATAGTATAGTAAGGCATGAAAAGTCATAGTATAGTAAGGCATGAAAAGTCATAGTATAGTAAGGCATGAAAAGTCATAGTATAGTAAGGCATGAAAAGTCATAGTATAGTAAGGCATGAAAAGTCATAGTATAGTAAGGCATGAAAAGTCATAGTATAGTAAGGCATGAAAAGTCATAGTATAGTAAGGCATGAAAAGTCATAGTATAGTAAGGCATGAAAAGTCATAGTATAGTAAGGCATGAAAAGTCATAGTATAGTAAGGCATGAAAAGTCATAGTATAGTAAGGCATGAAAAGTCATAGTATAGTAAGGCATGAAAAGTCATAGTATAGTAAGGCATGAAAAGTCATAGTATAGTAAGGCATGAAAAGTCATAGTATAGTAAGGCATGAAAAGTCATAGTATAGTAAGGCATGAAAAGTCATAGTATAGTAAGGCATGAAAAGTCATAGTATAGTAAGGCATGAAAAGTCATAGTATAGTAAGGCATGAAAAGTCATAGTATAGTAAGGCATGAAAAGTCATAGTATAGTAAGGCATGAAAAGTCATAGTATAGTAAGGCATGAAAAGTCATAGTATAGTAAGGCATGAAAAGTCATAGTATAGTAAGGCATGAAAAGTCATAGTATAGTAAGGCATGAAAAGTCATAGTATAGTAAGGCATGAAAAGTCATAGTATAGTAAGGCATGAAAAGTCATAGTATAGTAAGGCATGAAAAGTCATAGTATAGTAAGGCATGAAAAGTCATAGTATAGTAAGGCATGAAAAGTCATAGTATAGTAAGGCATGAAAAGTCATAGTATAGTAAGGCATGAAAAGTCATAGTATAGTAAGGCATGAAAAGTCATAGTATAGTAAGGCATGAAAAGTCATAGTATAGTAAGGCATGAAAAGTCATAGTATAGTAAGGCATGAAAAGTCATAGTATAGTAAGGCATGAAAAGTCATAGTATAGTAAGGCATGAAAAGTCATAGTATAGTAAGGCATGAAAAGTCATAGTATAGTAAGGCATGAAAAGTCATAGTATAGTAAGGCATGAAAAGTCATAGTATAGTAAGGCATGAAAAGTCATAGTATAGTAAGGCATGAAAAGTCATAGTATAGTAAGGCATGAAAAGTCATAGTATAGTAAGGCATGAAAAGTCATAGTATAGTAAGGCATGAAAAGTCATAGTATAGTAAGGCATGAAAAGTCATAGTATAGTAAGGCATGAAAAGTCATAGTATAGTAAGGCATGAAAAGTCATAGTATAGTAAGGCATGAAAAGTCATAGTATAGTAAGGCATGAAAAGTCATAGTATAGTAAGGCATGAAAAGTCATAGTATAGTAAGGCATGAAAAGTCATAGTATAGTAAGGCATGAAAAGTCATAGTATAGTAAGGCATGAAAAGTCATAGTATAGTAAGGCATGAAAAGTCATAGTATAGTAAGGCATGAAAAGTCATAGTATAGTAAGGCATGAAAAGTCATAGTATAGTAAGGCATGAAAAGTCATAGTATAGTAAGGCATGAAAAGTCATAGTATAGTAAGGCATGAAAAGTCATAGTATAGTAAGGCATGAAAAGTCATAGTATAGTAAGGCATGAAAAGTCATAGTATAGTAAGGCATGAAAAGTCATAGTATAGTAAGGCATGAAAAGTCATAGTATAGTAAGGCATGAAAAGTCATAGTATAGTAAGGCATGAAAAGTCATAGTATAGTAAGGCATGAAAAGTCATAGTATAGTAAGGCATGAAAAGTCATAGTATAGTAAGGCATGAAAAGTCATAGTATAGTAAGGCATGAAAAGTCATAGTATAGTAAGGCATGAAAAGTCATAGTATAGTAAGGCATGAAAAGTCATAGTATAGTAAGGCATAAAAAGTCATAAAAACGTCATCGCATAGTAAGTCATAAAAAGTCATAAAAAGTCATAATATAGTAAGGCATAAAAAGTCATCGTATAGTAAGGCATAAACAGTCATAAAAATGTCATAGTATAGTAAGGCATAAAAAGTAAAAAAAAACTTCATAGTATAGTAAGGCATAAAAAGTCATAAAAACGTCATCGTATAGTAAGGCATAAAAAGTCATAGTATAGTAAGGCATGAAAAGTCATAAAAATGTCATATTATAGTAAGGCGTGAAAAGTCATAGTATAGTAAGGCATAAAACGTCACAGTATAGTAAAGCAGAAAACGTCATAGTATAGAAAATTATAAAAAGTCATGAAAATGTCATAGCATAGTAAGGCATAAAAAGTCATAAAATGTCACAGTATAGTAAGGCATAAAAAGTCATAGTATAGTAAGGCATAAAAAGTCATTCAAAGGTCATAGTATAGTAAGGCATAAAAAGTCAGAAAAAAACTTCATAGTATATTAAGGCATAAAAAGTCATAAAAAGTCATAGTATAGTAAGGCATAAAATGTCACAGTATAGTAAGGCACAAAAAGTCATAAAAACGTCATTGTATAGTAAGGCATAAAAAGTCATAGTTTAGTAAGGTATAAAAAGTCATAAAAATGTCATAGCATAGTAAGGCATAAAAAGTCATAAAAAGTCACAATATAGCAAGGCATGAAAAGTCATAAAAACGTCATCGCATAGTGAGGGATAAAAAGTCATAAAAACGTCATCTTATAGTAAGGCATAAAAAGTCATAAAAATGTCATAGCATAGTAAGGCATAAAAAGTCACAATATAGTAAGGCATAAAAAGTCATAAAAAGGTCATAGTATAGTAAGGTATAAAAAGTCAAAAAAAAACTTCATATTATAGTCAGGCATAAAAAGTCATAAAAAGTCACAGTATAGTAAGGCATAAAAAGTCAAAAAAAAAGTCATAGTACAGTAAGGCATAAACCTCATAGTATAGTCAGGCCTAAAAATTCATAAAAATGTCATATTATAGTAAGACATAAAAAGTTAAAAAAAAACGTCATCTTATAGTAAGGTATAAAAGTTTTAAAAAAATCACAGTATAGTGAGGCATAAAAAGTCATAAAAAGTCATAGTATAGTAAGGCATAAACTGTCATAGTATAGTAAGGCATAAAAAGTCATAAAAACATCATAGTATAGTAAGGCATAAAAAGTCATAAAAACGTTATAGTACAGTAAGGCATAAAAAGTCATAAAAACATCATAGTATAGTAAGGCACAAAAAGTCAAAAAACATCATAGTATAATGAGGCATAAAAAGTCATATAAACGTCATAATATTGTAAGGCATAAAGTCATAAAAACCTCATAGTATAGTCAGGCCTAAAAAGTCATAAAAATGTCATATTATAGTAAGGCATAAAAAGTCAAAAAAACGTCATTGTATAGTAAGGTATAAAAGTTTTTAAAAAATTACAGTAAAGCGAGGCATAAAACGTCATATTTTAGTAAGGCATAAAAAGTCATAAAAATGTCATAGTACAGTAAGGCATAAAAAGTCATAAAAAGTTCATAGTATAGTAAGGCATAAAAAGTCATAAAAAGGTCATAGTAGAGTAAGGCATAAAAAGTCATAAAAAGTCATAGTATAGTAAGGCATAACAAGTCAAAGTATAGTAAGGCATAAAAAGTCATAAAAACGTCATAGAATATTAAGGGACAAAAAGTCATAAAAACGTCACAGTATAGTAAGGAATGAAAAGTCATAAAAATAGCCACAGCATAGTAAGTCATATACACTTGTAGGATAGTAAGGCATAAAATGAAATAAAAAAGTAAACGCATAGTAAGCCATATAAAGTTATAGTATAGTAAGGCAAAAAAAGTCAGTAAAAAGTCACAGCATAGCACCAGGCCCAGGACCAACAGGACCTGGACTAACAGGAACAGAAATACACAGGACCAGCAGGAACAAGACTAACAGGAACAGGAATAACAGGGCCAGGTTTAGGACTAACCGGAACTAGAACCAGAACCAGAACCTGGACCTAGATCTGGAACTGGACTAAGAGGACCAGGACTAAAAGGACCAGGTACAGGAATAACAGGACCAGGACCAGGACCAACAGGACCTGGACTAACAGGAACAGGAATAACAGGACCAGGACCAGGACAAAATTGAATAAAAAGTCAGATATCATCATATTATAGTAAGGCATAAAAAGACACAAAAACGTCATTGTATAGCAAGTTATGAAAATTCATGGATATGAAATTGTATAAAAAGTCAAGAAATTGTCATAGTATAGTTAGACATCAAAAGTCATAAAATCATCATTGTATATGTAAAAAGTCGTAGAAAGTCATGAAGATTAAATTGTATAAAAAGTCATATATCATCATAGTAAAATGAGGCATGAAAAGTCAAAAACATCATATATCATAGAAATGTCCTAGTATAAATAAGGCATCAAAAACGTTATAACGTCATCAAAAGTAAAAAAAAGTATAGTATGGCATCAAAATATCATAAAAACGTAATAATAATAATAATAACAATAATAATAATAACTGTTTATACGTTCATAATTTAGTTGTTTAGTCTTTTATAAGGGTCGTCTTATTGTAACCGAAAATACAAACAACTCTTACACCAACTGATGAAACTGAGTGAAACCTAAAGAAACAGGAGAGAGTGAACACATCATATTCATGTGTAAAATAGGACAAAGTGAGATTGAGTTACTGTGGAGTAAAAACAGTTTTTATTCAGTTCATTAAAACAGATGCATAGATCTGAGTTCAGGTCAAGTTCCATCAGAAAACAGCTGATTTTACATCATCACCACATCAGCTGATCACACTTGAAGCAAACAGTCAAACCCAGATGTTCATTTTTTTAACAACACCTGAGTGATGTCAGTCAATATTATATTATAATAATCAATATTATATATATTATTATAATCACATTTTCCCATCAATCTGTTTAAACACAAGCAGCTGAAAAAATAAAATAAATGATTTAAACTGACAAAATCAGCTTCACCAAAGGGACACTTACTAGCTTTTTCCAGAGCTTTCAGCCTGCCACCATAAACGAGTTACCTGTGATCATGAGATCAAAGCTCCCACTGGTTCCTGGTCCAGATCTGAGTTCCTGTGAGACTGGTTCACATCTGAACCAGATTCTGGTTTTGGTTTAAATCAAGTGAAGACATTTTGGTTTTAGTCAAAAAAAGTGTTCAGAGGAAAATAAAATAACGTTAATGTGACGATGTTTTCTTCATGAGTTCAGCTTGTTTTTGTTGTTGTTTGTTGTTGTTGTTTTTTAACATGACAACAAACTCTTCAATTCTTCAAAGTTTCATCAGTTTAGTTTTTATATTCAAACATGGACAGACGAAAAAAAGATTCACTGATTAAGACTGACAGACGTGGGCAAAAGCTCTGGAAACAGTAAGTTGACCTTGAGTGAAGATTGTTTTGCCAAAGGTCAAGAATGAGCTGTCGCCTCAGACGTATCTTTGTTTTTGTTGCCATGACAACCACAGGAGAATAAAAGATGTTAGATACCTGGACCAGACTCGTGGGAAACAAACAAACAAACAAACAAACATCAAACTGATTAAATCGTCATTTTGTTTTTGAGGAACTGCTCAGTGAGAGCCCTGAAAACAGGATGGTCCTGAGACCGGTTCTGTTCAGTACCTGAGACACCAATACCAGCAACACACACCTGACACACACACTCAGATTCTAAACTAAAACCACGTCAGAGACCAAGTCCTTCAGGCAACCAAATCAACCAAACCACAGCCTGAAGCAGGGACATCGGGATCAGGACTCTGAACAGGTTCCTGCAGAAATCTTAATGTGTCTGTGAGGAAACACAGCACAGCAGGACCAGTCCAGTCCAGATCAAACCAGTCCAGTCCCAGGTGGACTACAGCAGCCTTAAAGTTTTCTAAATCAGTCCAAACAAGTCGGGTCCAGCTTGCTGTTGAAGGTGAAATCTGCCAGGAACCAGAATTTAGTAGGACCAGTTCAGACCAGTCCACACTGGACTGAGACAGGATTATTTTAGCAGTCTTACACCAATCCAACCCAGTACAGACCAGTTCATACTGGTCCAAACCAGTTTAAAAAAGTGTAGTGTCCAGTCTAAACCGGTGGAGTCCAGCACAGCATGCTGATGGACGTGAGGATCTGGTAGGTAGAAGAATCTAAAAGGACTAGTCAAAAACCAGTCCAAACTGGTCTTATTCCAATCTGAACCAGTATAAACCAGCAGGAACTGGTTCTAAACCAGCAGAATCCAGCGGAGCGTGCCAATGGAGATGAGGGTCTGGCAGGTAGCAGAGTCCAGCCAAACAGACTCCACCAGAGTGAAGTGCAGGAAGCCGAGAGCAAATCCACATCCTACATCCGACAGGTGATGTTTACCCAGCAGCACCCGAGACACGCCCACCAGGAAGGCCCACAGGTAGAGCAGGATCCTCAGGGGCACCTGGAGGACAACAAGAGAACAACTGATCAGGACTAACTCATCCAGACCAAACTACAGTGATCCGGGTCTTTAAACCAGGTCTGAGGTTTGGTTGTTTCTCCGTCCCCTCTGGTGGGTCACCTCTGACCACTCCCACCATCAGTGGTTGGTTGGTTGGTTGTGGTCACAGGGAAATGATTTTGGTGCAGTACCATGAGTGATCACTGAGTGAGCGGTGGCACTTCATCTAAACTGATGGACAGTTGAACTGAGATCAAATCTGTCATGAAGAAGATTAAATTTGAGGTTGGTTCATAAATTCAGTTCAGTGAATAAAACCAGATCAATAATCAATTCAAAGTGTTTCAAACTTTATTTTTTTATTTAATGTTGAAACGTCTGACACATGTTAAATACTTTATCATTTATCAAACTGACTTCAATTAAAATTGTTGACAGAGCATCCTGTACAGCGGCTTTGCGTTGTGAACCGCGACAGAACCGAACATGGAGCAAAAGAAAGCGTAAAAGAAAAACGAGAGACGCTCTGCTGCTTGGCATAGCACTCACACTGCAACAACTAGCCTCAGCTGCGTGCAGGAGGACTTTTTATTAACCACGCCCACTATACAGGTGGCTCGTGTGCATCACAAATTAAATATGTGACAAATTAAATATGCCCATTCTTTGTTGCAACAAAAGGGGGGGGGGGTAAATAAAACAATAATTGAGAGCATCATTCAACAAAAAATAACTATTTTTAATAATTAATACATTTAGTTTATAAAGTCATAAATAAAAAAAATCATTAGTTCAGCTGGACTAAAAACATAAAGTGACTCATCTGCTCTTTGAAGAGTTCTTACTTTATATTATTGTATTGGACAGAACAGGTAGGACTGGACAGGACAGGTAGGACAGGACTGGATGGGACGGGACAGGTAGGACAGAACTGCACAGGTAAGACTGGCCAGGACGGGACAGGTAGGACAGAACTACACAGGTAAGACTGGCCAGGACGGGACAGGTAGGACTGGACTGGACAGGTAGGAATGGACGGGACTGTACAGGTGAATAATGAGGACAAATCCACTGACCGCCAGCACCAGGTGGTTCAGCAGGAACTTGGACACCATGACGGCTCGGCTGGCGTGGGCTGCTGGGAAAGAATATGTATCCATGGCGATGTAGTCCAAAAGCCCTGGAGGGAAATCCCAGGGTCCTCTGCGTTTGACCAACTTCTGCATCCCGGCGACTGTCATCAAATCCAGGATCAGAGCTGGACACAGACACAGGGATCAGATCTCAGTGAGTCCACACCTGAGACAGGTGTTAAAACCAGGACTGAACAGGTCTGAGGGTCCAGACTCATCAGACGTGTCTCACTCCTTTAAGGGAGTTATGTTCAAGTTTTTGCTAATGTTACATAGCTAACATTAGCATTAGAAGCTATTCAGTCTTGAGCTTCAGCCATCGTGTTTACAAGTCAACAGGTTATAACGTGTTCTCTGAGCAGCTACGTCTTCAGACTGGAGACAGTGATGAGATGGGCCGGGGTCAGTTGGTTAGCATGCTAACTTCAGCAGAAGAAAAAGAAGTTAGCATTGTTAGCATTGGCTGTTGGTGAGTAAAGGAATGAAGTTTGATGCTAAGCTCACAATGTTTCTTCTATACTGGTAAGTAAACAGCTGCTAATGCTAACGTTAGCTATGTAGCATTAGTAAAACTTACATTTAAGTCCTTTAAATTTGTTTTTGGGTCATTTAATGCCTGTATTTTAGAGCAGGGAGAGAGAGTGGGGAGGGGTCATGCTCAGTAACCACTCATCTATCAGAGGTCTGTACTTTTGGTGCAAAACAACTGAGCACTTGTGATAGGGGAATAAGTAGTTGTATAAAATAGATATATGTGTATCAGTAAATTTGAGGTCAAAACTCTCATTGCATGAATTCATATTCTGATTTGCAGACATGAGAATTTTGTCCATGACTTCACATTATTTAATACAGGTGTGTGAATGTGTTTTGTGCCACATTGTGGAGTACGATTCCTTGAGCATTTTTTCTCTGTGATTTCAAATTTACTGATACACGTGTCTATTTTATACAACTACTAATTCCACTGTCACAGGTGCTCAGCTGTTTTGCACCAAAAATACTTTGATATTTTCCGTCCTACAACGGTGGTCCTCTTGTTAACAGGTAAATCACCGTGGTAACTGAGGCTGAACTCCTATCCTGCTCTGGATCAGATCAAAACCTGTCAACAGCCAAACTACTGACCAATCAGATCCCTGGAAACACAGAGTCACCATTCCTACAGGATGGTTTTAAAACATAATAACTATTAGAGCTTCATTTGAACTGAACACAGATTCTTTAAATGCTACAGGATCCTGACAGAGATGAAGCTGTTGCTCTCTTCTTCATCACAGAGCTCAGAATAACATGAGGAGAAATAATGATCCACACACTGTTCTAAACTCAACTAATCAATAACTAAACTAATCAATATTTCATGATAATAAATGAACATTTAATGAGACCTCAACTACTCCTCTTTCCTCTCTCTCCTCTCTGCAGTCTGACACTTTAAAGTTTCTGTCAATTAGATTTTAAACATTAACAAAGCAGCAAAAAACTACTTTCTATGTAAAGATATAGTGGAGTAATGGCGTCCTGAGCAGAGAACAAAGCCACGCCCCCTCTGGACTGAGGGGTAATGGCTCCATCAGTGTCATTGGTACGGCCAGTCCCAGAGACTGAATTTCTGTCCCAGTCCGACCATGGAGCTGATACTGGTCTGGTTTATGAGAGGAGAACCCTATGAGCTGCTAAAGGCTCCAGTCTGGACCTGAACTGGTTTTTCTTCTCCATGTGTCAGTAACTTGATGGGTCATAATGTTACATGTCTGTTTTCATTAGTGATGGCTACAGTAGACATGCTAATATGAGCTAACTTGCTGTAACCCTTATTATGAATGTGTTCAGATAATTCATCTTCTTGTTCACAGTTTATCCTAAAATGATTTCTACTGTTTCTGTTCTGGTTTGCTTACATTTCATTTGATGATATCACTACACCTGATTTTACCTGCAGGTGTCAGCGCTTCCTCTCAGATCATAATAACACTTTATTCAAGGATTAGTTTTCCTTAATGGAATCAAGAACCTGGTCCTGGTCCCGGTGTCTCACCCAGCAGCAGGTTGACCAGGACTTCCTGTCCGGCCAGTGTATTGCTCCTCCACAGACAGATCAGAGTCCCGAAAAGCCACGGCAGGGCATGTCCGCTGAGGGCCAGCAGGGTCACCATGGAGCGGAGCGGGGCCCCGGGGCCGTGGGGCCGGGCACACACACCCAGGCGCTTCGACAGGCTGATGTCGATGGCGAGCAGAGAGTTGATGGCAATGCCTCGAAATGACGGGTTCAGCTGCATGCAGTCCTGCTCCGGCCAACGAGACCCGTCCTTCACCCCCCCATCAGCTGCTGGACCCCCCTCTGAGGAGTCCCTGGACCCCCTGAGGACAGACAGACAGGACAGAGGTGGTCCCAGCTCTGAGTCAGTGTTTAGCTCAGGTGAAAACCACTACAGGACCAGATCTGTGGACAGACTGAGACTCCTAGACCAGGAGGAGGGAACCTGTTCTCATGGTCACATGGTCACATGGTCTCATTGATACCGGCTGAAACATGTGACCTGCTCTACCTGAAACCTGAAGTGGAACCAGTTTCTGCTGGGAGTTTGGACTAGGACCAGGACCAGAGACCCGGGTCTGTTTGGACTCTAAATGTGAGCTGTGATGTCAGTGGGCGGAGCCTCTGAGTCTTACCTCAGTCCTGTGTCCTCCTGCTGACTCTGCTGTCTGAACGTGGCTCTCTTCGGACCACCGCCCCCCCGCCCCTCCCCTGGCCCCTGTTCCCTGCGGGGGGGCTGGTTCAGGGACATGAACTCGGGCCGGTTCAGGACGTTGTTCCGGTCTCTGGCCCGGGACCGGGCCTGGCTGCCGGGCATGACGAAGGTCTGGAGGACCGCAGGACTGTGACAGATCGGGTCTGAGACTCTGAGGGACTCTGCTATAAATAGATCAGCTGGCCTTCTTCTTCTGCTGTCAGCTGTTCAGAGGGGGGGGGGGGGGGGGGGGGGCGGGAGG